CCTCCTTGTAGGTTCCGATTTCACATTGATGTTATATATATATATTGTTGAAGCATGAACATTGTTGCAGATTCAGTCACTGCAGCAATGGAGTTCTTGTTGTTCTGGTTTAGAAATTCAAGTAGTATAGGCTTATGCAATTGTCGGGAAATTCATAAAAATAACTAAAATTTGGACTCATATAGAATCGTAGCCACCTTTTTAAGTTTATAATAATTATAACCAAAAGTTAATATAAAAGTACTAATATACCTTTAAAATTATCAGTTCAAAATGAATAAATCGAAACTTGATATGAAGTCGCCACTTGCAATTATCATCCACACATCTAACTTCCAACGATCCTTGATCGATCTATTCATATTAAACTCATCATTCTTCCACATTGCAATCATAGCTAATAATTGCAAGTGGCGACTTCGTGTATTAGTACTTCTACGGGTATATTAGTATTTTCATGTTACTTTTGGTTATATTTATTATAAACTTTAAAGATAAATATAATTGTCTATGGGATTCAAATTTTGGTTATTTTTCCAAATTTTTCGTAATAGTTGACTAAGATTAAAACATTTAAAGGGTGTTTATTGAGCCAGTTGTCAAAATCACTTTGATGTAAGTAAGTGAGTGTGTGTCGTGCACATGATCATAGTCGCGCTACAAGTATGAGGCACCAACGGCTACAGTCCCTCTCTCTCATTGAGTGTGTGATGTAACCGAATACAGATGGAAATCTAAGGAGCAATGTACTCCATTTTGCATCTCCTTTGTTCTCAACAACTTTCATCTTCTTTGTGAATCAATTTCTCATTGATTTGATTTGTGAAACTCTATAAAGTAGCAATCAAATATTCTCAAACACTAACATGGCCTCAGAGCTTGGTTCAATTTGAATCAAGGGGCGTAAATCTTTGATTTGAGTTCTTTTGGTTTTCAACGAAGAACTTAGGTGAATCGAAGAACAAAATGGCAGGATTTGGAGCTAAGCTTCAAGGCTCTCACTAGAGTCAATTATGACTTCTGATGCATTAGGATGAAGACTATTTTCAAATCCCTCACTCTGTGGAAATTTGCAAAGGAAAGAATCAAGCTCCAGAGGAGACTGATGAAGACATTGATAATAGCAGATCGTGATTCAAAATCTCATTGCAAAAGATGCAAAAACACTGAGGTTGATTCAAGGTGTTGTGTTCAATTAAAATTTTCTTAGGATTGCAAATCAGGAAACAACAAAGGAGGCATGTAATGTCTTGAAGCAGGAGTACGAGGGTGGCTCATAGGTCATGGTTGTGAAACTTCAAGTTATTCACCATGAATTTGAATATGCTAGAAAGGGAAATGGTGAAACATTGTCTAATTATTTGACTAGGCTGTTTGGATTGATTAATCAAATGAAAATGTTTGGTGAAGATCTATCTAATAAGAGAATTAAGTATGAAATGTCAAAAGAGTTTTAAGGTATATTCAAGGTGCCTTAGCTACTGGAATAGAGTTTGTTGCCCACCCCAACAACGATAACTCAAGTGTTTGGACAAATGGCCATTAGAGTGATATTGCCAGAGATGTCGTTTACATGGTGATAAGTTGGATCGTCTGTTTGTTTGTTGCTTGCAAGTTTAGATTTGGAAATCTCGTTCGTTAGTTACTGGGGCCATTTACATGTTTATTTTCTTAGGCCCACCATTTTCATGTTCGAATGAATCTACCTGCTTGAATCTGCATTAAGGTATGTGCGCTTAACGAAATCTGCCTGCCCGAATCTATATGTCATATGAATCCAGATCCAGCTGCCATATATCTGAAATAAACTTGTCTGCCTACCTGTTTGCTTAACTAAGTTTGCATCTGCATGATGTTAACAAATTCATGTCATGTATCAGCATGAGTTTGACGAGGGGGTGTTGGAAAATATTAATATTTAAGGTTATTTTATTGTTTAAGTTTTAGGTCCAGCCCGTTAGAATTAGGTTTTTGTTTAGAGATTAGGTTTTATTTTATTATAAATAGGATGCTTGTTATTCACTTGAAAACAAGTTAGTCACAAAGTAACCGTCAGTTTGTAGCCGTCCTAGCATTTTTATTTCTCTATTTTTTCATTAATAAAACCCCTAATTTCATAGTTTGTTTGTTCTTTGTTTTTCAACTAGTCACAAACCAAGCCTTATGCTTCCCCTCTTTCTACTATTTGAAACCTCAACCACCATAATAGAAACTCATCTGAAAGTAAAGATTGGAAAAGTTTGATTTTGAATTTAAAAGTAAAAAAAAAATGAATTTTAATAAAAGTAATTTAGGAAAGCAACTAATACCCAATTAAAAAGGAAACACATCAAAGAGAAAAGATTTTGAGAAACAAATTTGGAAAAGCACTAGGGTTCCGCCGTTACCCTAACAATCCTACGTAGTTCTTCTAATTCTTTATGAATTACACATGCATATTTTGAAGATTAAGTGTTCCTAAAGTATGCCCTACTTGGAACCCCCAATATGGAACGTATATCTAACATGCAATCCATCTGTGACATCCAGATCGAATGTGAATATGCAAGACTCATTAAGTTTTGTACAAACCTTTTGAAAAACCATATAACTCCTAAGACGCGTCGTCCATCCTAAGTAGTTACACATGTTAACCACAAGAAGCCTTAGTCAATTTTAGGGACAGCCCTTCGCTAAAATTGCATCAAATTACTTTTCTAAATATCCTATTAAAGCACAATGATTAACAATCCAAAACTTACATGCATAAGAAAATTAAAAAGAGACTACATATTCTTGTTAAGGATCATGGGTAAAATCAAAATAATTGTATTAAACTAGAAAAAAAATGAAAACACCTGAAAGTATAAGTCTTGAAATCATTAAGCTTTTCCCGAAGTCTTCACCCAAAAATTGCATACGTTCTACCAAAAAAACCCTAGGTTTGGCAAAAGGCTTATTTCTACTACTCTAAATAAAATCATCCTAGTAAAAGGGCCTAGGATCAGACTAGGAAACTAAATAAATTGAAATAAAATAGGAAACATAATCCTAAATTGACTTGGTAAATTCGCCTAGAAATCTGCACAGCCACGTTCTGGACCTATATCAGCTTCAAAACTGGCCCAAAATAACTAAATTTAAAGTTTGAACTATTCTGAACACTTCTCCAGAAGGCCACGAACCCATCTCAAGTTTTGACTATTCTAAAGTTTGGCCTAACCTTTTCACCCAATTCAACACAATTCCCAAATCTCATAAATGAATATTGTTCCTAAAGTTAGCATGACGACAAGTGGAGTCATTTGTTCCATATAATAGTTTGAGTCCACCAGATGGAGGCTCATTTTCTCTGCCTAAGACTGAGCCCTCCGGTAACAATGATTTCTCCGAAACTGTTTTCAAATACGTAAACCAGATTCTTATGTAAGAGAACATAGAGAAAAAGCCTTGCATGTTCTATGATCCATTGGGTCTTCATGTGAATGAGAAATCGTTCCAAGGAGTTCTTGGTCAACAGTACCCGTTTTCACCTCTTCTCCCGATAATTTCTAGCTTCGCCACCGTGCACGATCCCATTCTAGTAGAGCATTATGCAACGATGTATGTGGCTCCCTTTTATGTGCATTTTGGATGGACGAGTGAAGTAAACTGTCTGCACCTAAAAATTTCTCTAATTTAAGGGCGAGCAAAAATGTAATCGGACCCAAATACAATGGTTCGGAACATGATCTAACCATGCGGGTAGCATTTTATCATGATGTCGAATCTTAAGTTTATATGGATTCATTCTCTATTACCTAACCAATTCTCTTACGATATATTATTCAAAAGATTCAATTTGTGCACCTCATATGTTTCTTAAGAGCAACTCCACCCCTATCCACTTTGCACCAGCACCCAGCCCATTTATCCACTTAATTGAACAGTAACAGACTCAATGAACAGTAATAGGCCAAAGCATCTCCACCCCAAAAAAAAATGTGCTGGCACCTAGTCTAAAAATGCGCTGGCACAAACGATCTCCACCCCTACAAAATGCGCTGGCACCCAGTCCATTTAAAATATTAAATAATTTTTTTATAAAATAATAAAAAAAAAATAGTTTTAATTTCGGATAGGATTTTTAACCAATCTCGTCACGCCACGTGTCATTATCTGAACGTACTATATTTTGAATAGATTTCCGCTAAGATTTTCAACCAATCCCGACAACCCACGTGTCACTTCCTGTTTACAATTATTTAGGCAAGATTTCGATAAGATTTTTAACCAATCTCGTCACGCCACGTGTCATTATCCGAACGTACTAATTTTTGACATTTTTTAATTAATTTTTAATAAATTTTAATGTTGTAATTAATCGGGACCGTTGGATTTGAAAAATAATCAAATCCAACAGCACTCATTACGCCACGTGGCCAACGGTCAAATTTCTGACCGTTGGGCCTTTTTTTTTTTTTTTTTTTTTAATTTTTGGTGAAATAAACGTGGACCGTTGATCTGTGATCGGACGGTCCAATTTAAAATTTAAATTTAAATTTTTTTTACTGTTGGAAATCCAACGGCTTAAAAAACTAGCCGTTGGAAATCCAACGGCTCTGAGGAGGGCCACGTAGCCCTCAGCCGGATGACTGCAAGTTGCCCTGCCACGCGGGCCCCACCGCCTGCAAAGCTGTCGGCTACTCGCCTGGCCTCCCGCGTGTTGTGCACGCGCCAGAAACAGACCGGGGAATGGGTCTGTCCATTTTGGGCTGGGCTCTTGACTGGCACGGGCTGGGTGCCAATCAATTTTGCGGGCTGGAGCTTATTTCATGCAAGCCGGGCCATTTTCTTCACTTGGTGCCAGTAAATTCTGTCCGGGCTGGACTTGCTCTAAGCGGGCGAGCGGCCCAGACCAAAAAAATTTAGCAAAGTGAGCAAAATTGCACCCAAAAATCTAGAATGTTTGAAGTTGTCGTTTTTTTAAACTTGGGCACCGTAACGATGTCGTTCTATATTGCACGAAAATGATTGACGCACGACAGAAAATCACACTCACCACGCCAGCCTCTCTCTCCTCTCTCTCCTCTCTCTCTCTCTCTCTCTCTGCGCTGTTTGTTCTTTCAGAAAACGGAAACTCTTCAAACTTGAAACTTGAAAGTACGCGAATCGATCGGAGTCTATGTGGATTCTTCAATTTCTGTGAGTTATTCTCCTTCACACTCTCTACGCTTCAAGCTTCCGAGCTTTCGAGTTTTCGAGCTTCAATCTCGGAGATCCTCATTCGAAATTTCCTGCTCGGAAACCTAATTTCAGTGAAGCTCCAGCGCCGGAAATTCGAAATTTTTATCATTCAATTAGTATTTCAATACACATTTTTTGCTTTTTCTTCTGAAGGCGGATTATCTCTATGTTTTGACTGAGATTGAGCTGTTTAATCTCTGTAAAATTGCTTCTGTTCAGCTCATGCTTGTTTGAATTACCGTTTCTTCTTTCTTCTTTGTCCTTTTAACACTTGGATATGTTGCACGTTTAGTTAGTGTGATTAGTTAGGCTAATCTTGATCAATAATTGAGGCTAATTTAATAGAGAGATTAGTAGTTGAATTAAGATTTTGATTTAATCAATTTGAACAACATTTGAATTTGGTTTGCGGTGGTATAATGTGATAGAAAGATAAGCAGTTGAATTGAACATGAGAATGAGGTTTTAAACCCTTTTTTTCTCGTCGAAATCTGAATATTTTGTCTGAGATTGAGCTGTGTACTTCAGAGTTGCGCACGTTTAGCTCGTACTTGTTTAGATATTAGCGGGTGATTTAGTTTGCAAGAGAAAGAGATTAGTAGTTGAATTAAGATTTTGATTTAATCAATTTGAACAACATTTGAATTTGGTTTGCGGTGGTATAATGTGATAGAGAGATAAGCAGTTGAATTGAACATGAGAATGAGGTTTTAAACCCTTTTTTTCTCGTCGAAATCGGAATATTTTGTCTGAGATTGAGCTGTGTACTTCGGAGTTGCGCGCGTTTAGCTCGTACTTGTTTAGATATTAGCCGGTGATTTAGTTTGCAAGAGAAAGAGAGCGACTGCTTGCTTTTTGGTTTGTTAATGTCACTGAGAGATTAGTAGTTGCGTTTAGGATTTCGATTTAATCAAATTGAACAAAAATAACAAAAAAAAAAAAAAAGTCTTGCTACTGTTTGATAGTGGAAGAGATGAATCACAGTTAGGTTGTAACAGCATATATTTTGAGCTCGTGAATGATTGTTTACACGAGTTGAGGACTGCAACAGAGTGCTTGAAAGTGTAAAGGATTTGCTTTTTTAGGAATATTAAACCTGTTGATGAATACGTACTTGTTCACTTTTGAGACCATAAGTTACTGAATGGTTTAAAACTGCAACAAACAAATATTAAGCAGTTCTAAAGTTTGAAATAGGGACATTCTTTTTTATTTATTTATTTTAAAGAATCGTAGTTTTCCATCACCATAGAATAAGCATTTAGTGCAAAGCTTCCACTTTTTTGGGTACTCGCTTATACCTAGTGATTTCATAATGCTATAGTTTCAGAAAGATATTTGTTTGTTGTTGTTACTTCCACACACACCCCCTGCCCCTTCAATATGTGGGTCATTTTAATGATGGCTGCCCTTATATGTGTAATGACATTGTACTTTGAAGTTATGACTGGATCTCACTTCTTTATCACAAACTGTAATTATGTGTAATGATATTTAAATTTAAGCATGCACACATGTTATTCTTTCAAACTATTATATGTATACTTGTGTATGCATAATTGCATATTCACGTGTTCTTGCATATGTATAAACCTCCTGCAACTAACATATATTTTTTTCCCTTTGGAGTGTTTCAGGTAGGATTCAATATGTGCTAACTGCAACACATTTCCCACTTATTGTGTACCTGTAACTTTAGCTCTATTAAGCATGGGGACGTATTCATGGTATTCGGTCAGCAGATAGCAGGAGAGGAGGAAAGGGTAAGTTTTGAAGTATTCTAGTTTTCTTATTGTGTGCCCTGGAAAATAGTCTCTTTCTTTGTTTGCTTAAAATTTGTATTTTACACTTCCTAAGGTATTAATGCAAAATCAGAACTCTTTCTCAATGTGTAGCTCACACTTTTTTGTTATGACTAGCCCACATTCTTGTTAATTGTATTTGTATTCAATAAAGGTGTTTTATGTTTCAAACTTTCTATAAACAGCGCGTTCAGTCCACCTGGGTCAATTTCTGTTGAAACGATGTATTTTGTGCCAGACTTCAACACTTTGCATTTTGATGATTAAAATCTAAGAATCTCTTTTAACAATGGCAGTGCTCTTTTGGGTTTGGCTCAAGTGGTTTGGGATGGGATGTAAAAAGTACCAACTAATAATAAAGAAGATAAAAATGATAGAAATAGTATATGTATCATGGGGGTGGGATATTATCAAATAAATCTTACCCTCTCGACTGTTCCATATAGACCAGAATTTCATGTTTGTACTGACTCCATGATCACTTGGTGATGGTATCAGAAGTTACAACCTTCCTAAGCATCTGATGGACATTGTACCCTCTTCAGTATCTTGTCTTCATTGTGAAGTAAGCTGCTGAAGCAATGTCCATGTCATTTTGAAGTGTTTGAAAATAATGATGTTTAACATTTGCGGAAATGAGATATAAGATACATTTTTTTCAGAAAGATTTTAGGAACAACCTTAAGGTTATAAAAAGAAGTATTCTTATCATTTATAGTGTGCAATGTGTGACGTAAAAGCCTTTAGGCCGCGGAAGCAATGTCCATTTCATTAGAACTGTTCATGCTACTTGAGATATTTGTAGTTCATATTTGATTTATTAATGTAATAGCATGATTCTATGGTCTGGGCTCAGGTGGGCATGCTATTAATAGTTGTAATTTTCTCTATGCATCTGATTGACTTTGCACCCCTTGCTTTCTTGTCTTCTTTGTAAAGTAAGCTACAGAAACAATGTCAATACCATTACAACACTCCATGGTTTTTGAAATACCTTTTAGTACATGATTTGATTTGTGTAGGTTATTAGCATCATTCTGTGGTCAGGGACTGAGCTGGTGATACTATTAGCAGTTGTAATTTACAGTGAGCATCTGATGGACTTGCACCCTTTTCATTTTCTTGTCTTCTTCGTGATGTATGCAGTATGCTACAGAAGAATTTCCACTATCATTAGCACAACCTTCATGCTATTAGAGCTGTTTTTCTTTTTTGAGTAGAATTTGAAATATTTCTTAGTACATGACTTGATGGATATGATAACATTTCAGTAATATGGCTATTTTTTTGTAGCATAACTTTTGACTGATTTGGCGAGATGATTATGTGTAAATGTGCTTTTTGAAAAGACTAGTGTGTTTTGGGTTGTATTTGCTATTAAGAGTCTCTGCTACTTTGTGATACGTTCGCATTTCACACTCAGAACATACCTTTCTCTAATAGCTAGAGGATTGAGCTGTTTCTGTGATTTATGGGCATTGTTTCGTCAGATTGGTGCTTTTTACCAATGCATGTAGTTTCTCTGTCGAATTGGATTTAATTTTGGATGTCATTTTAATCCACAAAATCTGAAAAGACTTCAAATTTCTTTCCATCTCTAAATATAAATAATTGTTTCAAGAGACTTTCTTCGATCCATTACTTTGTTATTGTTTGAAGTCTTTAACTTGAAATAGAGTTTTTCTGTTCGGTTTTGAGTTCTCTTTTTAATAGGCAAGATCTGTGTCTCACTGACTCCAGATGTTAACAAACGTTTTAGTGGTTAAAATTTTCAGCACTTGCTGCTAATATTTCGAAAATGGATGATGGTCGGCAACATGAAAATGGGAGACACAAGATGGACTATTACAGAGGGGGGGTGGCATCGCCGGTAAGAAGAAAGCATGTTTTACTATGTGCTGTTAATATGTTTATTTTCTAATGCAATTATAGATCATTTGAATGGGGTAGAATTGAAATGTGCAGTGGAATATGATGACCCAACAGCAAGCGAAGGAACCAAATGCCTTAGTCATGAACAAGAAGATCATGTCCATTATTGCTGACAGGGATGCTGCTATTCGAGAACGGAATGCAGCACTTGCTGAAAAGAATGAAGCCTTGGCTGCAAGAGATGAGGCACTCCGTCAGCGAGATGAGGCACTAGCTCAGCGTGATAGTGCCCTGATGGAACGGGACAACGCCTATGCAGCCCTTCATTCGCGGGATAATGCTGTCAACTTCCCGTTGGGTGGTGGAGCTCAACGTGGATCTAAACGCGTGCAGCGCCCCTCAAACCATTCAGTTACCCTGGCTGATGTTCATTACAGCACAAAAGATGTGAATATAACTGAGGCCTACCCTATTTCAGTTATATCTCCTGAAGCTGTCAAGTCACGTCAGACAAAGCGAGCAAAGGAGAACAAGGCATCCAGGGCAAAGCAGTCACGGAAAAAAGTAGGCGAAGATTTGAATAGGCAGGCTTCCTCGGATGGGATTAAGTATAAATCAGAGTGGGATACTCATGATTTGGGTTTGAATCTTGTCTCTTTCGATGAGTCTACAATGCCAGTGCCAGTTTGTTCATGCACTGGAATTCCGCGGCAGTGCTACAAATGGGGGAATGGCGGGTGGCAGTCATCTTGTTGCACCACCCATATGTCTATGTATCCACTACCTCAGATGCCAAATAAGCGCCATGCCCGGATGGGTGGGCGGAAGATGAGCGGAAGTGTTTTTACTAGATTGCTTAGTCGGCTAGCAGCAGATGGTCATGATTTGTCAATACCGCTGGATTTGAAAGAATACTGGGCCAGACATGGGACAAATCGCTACATAACGATCAAGTAGGTCAGAAGCAATAATTTGGATGTTTTCTTTCGAGGTACCTCTCTCTTTTTCTTCCTACTCGCCCTCTCGTGTCTCTGAATTTAACGGATATCTTCATTGGCATGTGGCTGTATTCAATGAAATCAATGGGAGAAATTTTCGATAATTGAGTACTTTCATCTTCCTTCGGTTAACATAGACTCTTGTATTCAGTCACAGAATTTCAATTGCCCCTTCGTAGGAAGGACATTAGTAGTAGGGGTAGGGGTAGGGGTAGGTACGGTTTCATTCGGTTTGTTTTTTTTGGGTTTCGTTTGTTTGGTTTGGCTTCGTTACGGTTTTAGTTTTTAATTTTATACTTAATCTTTTTTTATTATGAAATTTAGAAAATAGGCTTGCATTAATAGACTAATAATAAGAAAATGAAAATAGGGAAAGTCGAAGGTGGGAAGGTAGTCTGTATATATACAAAAAATTATAAACCAATCTTATTCTATCAACAACCTTAATTTCAAAGAAAAATGATCACCGTACTCAGTTCAAAAAGCAAACAAATAGAGAAACTTTTTCAAGTTCTAAAGCCTTCCAAAACTTTCCTTTATAACCAATGAAACATCCTTCCTATTTGGACCAAGTATGCTCCTTGAAATGCCCTAGGTTAGTTTCAAACTTTGCAACAAAGTTTCACCAAAGAAACATCATGGGCATACATTCGTAAAGTGTAAAGGGATTCGGTTCGATTTGGTTTGGTTCAGTTTCTGAACCTCCAAAATTGAAACTGAACCCATAAGGTTTGGTTTGGTTCAGTTTTTTCATTTTCAGTTCGTTTTTTTTTTCTTTTCGATTTGTTGGTTTTGGTTCAGTGTTTGGTCCAATTTTTTTCAATTTTTTGAACCCACCCCTAATTTGTAGTGCGTTGGACATCTGCATATTCCCTTCTGTCTCCATTTGCATACTGATGCAAGCCATTTGAGCCAAGAAGCGGCTCAAACTCCACCATGTTTCAACTGTTTTTTTTTTTCGAAATCGAAGGCTTCATTTGGATGACGGAATTCGAAAGAAATGATTTGGATTTCCAAGTTTGCTGCGAAAACTAGAAAACGTTTGATTAAATTAATTTAAAATGATTTCTTGCATAGAATTGTTTAAATCCTATCAGCATGGAATAAATCGGACAAATTGAAACACATGAAGTAAATGGCCAAATGAGTAATAAATAAGGAGCGTTTTAATATTGAAGCCTAATTTAGTTTTGTTACTAAAAACATTTGCTTTTATTAAATAAACTTTATCAAATACATCATAAAAAAGAAAATGGCTTTTTTTTTTTTTTTTTTTAGGAAAACTAATGAAAATTGTTTGAAAACTTTGAGTTTTAACGATAAGGACAAAATAAAGAGTAAAGTGAATAGTATCAGGATTGACTTTTTAGTGTAAAAATGTGATTTTTCGTTAAAATGAATAGTATCAGGAACTTTTCGTTAAAATTCCCTTTTGTTTTTTTGATCTCAAATGGTCTTTGAGATCCACCAAATAATTAATTTATTTATTCCTTTTTTACACAGAAGAAGAAACCTTATATTTAGAAAATAATCAACATAAAGTGACTTTACTACCCCCACCCCTCGAAAACTTTAACCGCCGCACATTAATGTGATCCTTCCTTACTCCTAAACCGGTCTTTGAGACCATCCTAATGAGCTCGATGCTAGGTTTGGGCATAAGTGGGTCTACCAACCAACCCGATCAAACCAACCCATAGGTTGGATAGGGTTGGATTTTGACATTAAATTTTTATTTTTTGGTAAAGACCTAATCACCAATTCTATATATAGGTTGGGTTGGGTTGAAAAACTATTAACTCAAATGACAATAATTCTTAAACGTAAATGTATATTAGATAAAAATATACATAAATTTCAATAACCTTTGAACACACTTATTTGTTAATACTTTATTTGAATAGTGAAATTTATATATCATGTAATGTGTAGTAATTCTATAACATTGAATTAACAATTTATATAATTTTAGACCTATTATCATGCAAGTATTAATTATTATTCACTTATACTCGTATTAAAAATAAGAAAGAAGCCAATTACAGCAATTCGTGTAACCCATCCAACCTAACCCGCTTAAAGAATAAGAGTGGTGATGAACACATCCTACTATCTTATCTTCCCACCCGCATTTTAATAAAAATTTTAATACAATTTTATCCATTGTAAAATGACATCTAAGACCAAAGCAAAAAAAAAAAAAAACCATAAGCTCTCTCTTAACCGCAACCTATTAACCAAATATCTCTCCCTCTCCGAGAGAGAGAAAGATGGCAGCGGCGGCACTGGTTGGAGTTGGAGTAGGTGATGTTTCGAGGGCACATGCGACAATGGCAGCAATTCAACTTTTCACCGGAGAGTATCATGTAATTACCAAAGTAGCCTTCATACGTTTCCTCTACCATGGTTTGATTGGAGGAGCCACGACATAGTCGCGATCAGCTGCATAGCCGTTTGATAGCGGAGGTCGTTGAGATTGGAGGGAACAGAGGGGAAGGGGAGATGTACAGGATGGTAGGTGGAAAGGGTGGGTGGGGTTTGGATGTTGCGGCGGCGTTTGGAATGATTTAAGTTCTGTTTGACAGCCATCTATCTTCGCAGGATAGTTTGTCCGGACGATGTTGGAGTCGAAGTGGTAGAGGTTGGAGTCGATATGGTAGCGGCAGTTGCGGTGGGAGGCGCCGATGAAGTGGCAGACGATGTTGGCGTGCTGGAGGACGGAGAAAACGTCGAGAATTGTGTAAAATGTAATTTACGTAATAAAAATATCTACAAGCTATTTTAGAAATAATAGGGGGTGAAAAATAATATTTAACTTTTTAAATTTTTTATAATGAGTGAAATTATAACGTGAGTGGTGAAATAAAATATTAGAATGGGTCTAATAGCAATTTGGGTAAATTGGTTTGCCAATTTTCTTCCAACCTAACCCGCTTAAGGAGTTCTTGAAGGAAAAAAAAAAAAAAAAAAAGGCCGCTTAAAGAATAATTTGGGTAAATTGGTTTCAAATGGAATTGGGTGGCCATAAATTTGGAACAATTATAACCCGAACCTATAAGATTGGCTAACGGATTGAATTCCAAACCCACCGACCCACCCGTACTCAGTGCAATCAAAAGTTCAAAACTACAACCGAGCTCCCTGGGTCGGGTCGACACGCTAAATTTGAACGTCTTTTCGGGTCACCTAGACGCACTGCAAAACCCTACCCTCACTCAGACTCCAATGCACCAGTGAACCCTTAACAATTTCCATAAACCCCTACCAAGCCTCCGAGTTAGCACGAGTCAACTCAGTCCGCATGGACGAGTCTCCCGCCGAAACGGCCCCGGTTGCCGAGGCTAGGAACGGCGGATCTGAGCGAACGCCGGAGGAGCTGGTAGCCAAGTGCATCGCTCCCGTGAAGAAACAGTTCCTTCGCCCTCCCCCTATCAGAGGTCTCTCTAACGACCAGAGCGACGCCGTCCCGGAGGGGAAATCAAAGGCTTCCCAGACTAGTGTGGTGAAGGAGAAGAAGTCCAAGCGGCAGCTCAAACGCGAACGCCAACAGGTTGTGTTTGGATAGGGGAAGAGCGAATCCATTGTTTGGGGGGAAATGAAATCATTGAAATGGATTAAAAATTTTGAGTTTCCATCTGAGCATAAGACAATAATTTTGGTAATTTTGTTTTTCTTCAACATTGCAGGCAGTGAAGTCGGCTGTAGGCATCTGCCCGGAGGTGGCGAAAAGAGGAGATGTTAGTCGGTGCCCGTACAAGGACAAATGCCGGTTCAGCCACGACGTGGAAGCTTATAAAGCTCAGGTAATTTGAAATGAATTGGAATGTTGCTTGTGTAGTAGTTGATTTTTTGCTTCATTGGGTTTTATTGTAAACAAAATGTTATGTGGGATTGGCCCTTATGAGGATTCAATTGTTGTTGAGTGTAGAAGCCTGACGACATCGAGGGAGAGTGTCCTTTCATGACTGCCCAAGAGACATGCCCGTATGGATTGGCATGTAGGTTCTTGGGTTCGCATAGAGACGGTGTTGAAGGTGGAGATGTGAGTGCTCACAGGAGAAGCTCCGAGGTGAATGGATTGACCAAAGATGTTCAAAAGCTTTTGTGGAAGAATAAAATGAAGTTCCCCAAAGCAGATGCCAAACTCAAGGCTCTTGGGCTCGAGGTATCGAGATACATCATCATCCTTCTTCCCTAACAATGTCTCTTTTCTCTATATGTGTGTGCGCGCGCGGGCGCATTTATATGCATGATTGTGTAAAGAGGGATTCTTTGCTGTGATTCACATGATGCTATAATTTGGCGATACAATACGATTCGATTTGGCTATTCGTGAAAACACAAAATTTCAAGATACGGGGACGGCATGGATACACTAATTATAAAAAAAATATTTACAATGTGTGAATAATTAAAATATATCATTTTGACCAACTGAATGATTCAAATCCAAAATAAAACATAAGAAATTCAAATCCAAAACATAGAAAATATCAAATATCAACCCTAATTATTAATTCTAATTGGGATTTGGTAACTTAATTTTAAAGTGGGGTAGGTGTGCTAGATTTATCTAATTAATTGGGATAGTGTAACTTAAATTTAAAGTTTTTTCTTAAAAAAAAAAAAAAAAAAGAAAGGGCTCAAACGTATAGCAGCCTTCTTCCAGGCTATTCCCCGTGCACCAACCGCACGTTGGAAGTAGTTATTTCAGTGATTCACAAGTTGGCGTGAATCAGTGGGTAATCGGAAACGTCCTAGTACGTGGGACGCAATCTTGAATTAAACCACTGAGTGCTGTAAGGAATGTTTAAAAAATCCATTGATATTGAATATGAAGCTGGGAAGGAAAAAAGAAAGGTGCAGTTGCAGATTTGTATGTTCTTGGTATGAAGGCTTCAAATTGGTAAATGCTGTCTTAAATGTTTAATGACACAAAAACTTGTACACTTTACGATGAATTGATTAACTAATTAAATATCTTTTGGATGTGTTTGCTTCTATGTAAAATGCGATAATCTTATCTCAATAATTTGTTTCAAGTGTGGCTATGGGATTAGGCTACTTGAAAGTTGAAAGGGCAATTGGCACCGCATTTGTAAATTTGTTCCTTATTCTTTCTTGCTTTTCATATTCTCAAAGTTAGTATTTGGGACAGGGAATTTGTGTTTGGTTTACATGCATTTCTGTGTGTCTAACTTGGATTCAATATTTTCATAACTACTGCTATTCTGTTTCCAGGGGAATGCCAAGTCAAAAATAAAGATATTAGAAGATAAGGAGGATGACCAGATTGTTTCAAATAACTGTGATGTTACTGATGGAAATGACTGTAGTGAATTGCCTGCTGAAATACGAGAAGAGGGTGGCCTTGATGAAACATGTCCAGATGATGAATCTCGGCCTTCGAAGAAGACAAGATCTGTAATTGAAGAGGAGATTTGCTCTGGTGAGGTAGATGATGGAGGTATAGCCTTTTGTTCCCCTTGCTTTATTTATTTATTTCTTAATAGTTGGAGGCATCCAATGTAAGTTGATTATAGGTGTAAGTGCTGCAAAAGAAGCTGCTGAGCAGACCTCTACCGCACCTGAACCAGAGGCTACTGTTGGTATTGTATTGCCAGAGAATGATAGAAGCCTAAGACTACACCCACGTGAAAAGAAGCTTATTGATTTTAGAGAAAAGTTGTACCTTGCACCTCTGACCACTGTTGGAAACCTTCCATTCCGAAGGGTTTGCAAAGTGTTAGGAGCAGATATAACATGTGGTGAAATGGCAATGTGCACAAATCTTTTGCAGGTTCGTGATTTGCTTTTTCCAGCCGATTATTGTTATTGTTGCTGTTTTTAACTTTTTACAAGAAAATGACCTTATAAAAATTAATGGGTTTGTTTAAAATTTAAATGGGTCTCAAATGATTTTAATGATAATTATTTTATGAGAATTCATCTGCAAAGTCTGCAACATCCCATAATTAAAACTATGAGTATTTATTTATTATGTCTTCTAAGATATTAAACATACAATATTTGATGTGAAAATAAACTGTATTTTACCATTCCCAAATTCTCCGGTGTTTATGGAGGTTTATGCTTAACAGTATGGCTAGTGATGCTGTTACTTCATATGGTTTAAGTTCTTTAAGATAGGTATTTGGGCCATTTGAGTATGATATATTATTCTGAAGCGTGCATTGGAAGGGAAGCATGCTTTTCCATCTTCAGTGTTCTGCAATGTATATGCTACTACACGTAGGCAGTGTTTTCTCCTTAAACTGTTGTCAGGGCTAATCATTTTTCTTCGTATTTACAATTTTCTTTTTCAAGTTTTGTATTTTATATGGTTGATGTTGTAATCTACTATCCAATGTCACATTCTTCTAAGTGCAATTTTCATATGGAAATAGGGTCAAGCATCAGAATGGGCACTGCTGAGGCGACATTCATCTGAGGATTTGTTTGGTGTTCAGATATGTGGAGCATATCCAGACACTCTGGCACACACTGTTGAGCTAATTGATCAGGAATGTCAAGTGGACTTTATTGATATAAATATGGGGTGCCCAATTGATATTGTTGTGAACAAGGGTGCTGGCTCAGCTCTTCTTACAAAACCCATGCGGATGAAAGGCATCGTACAAGCAGCTTCTGGTACTGTGGACTGTCCTATAACTATTAAGGTACTGAATTTATTCCTGTTCTAGACAACTGTGAACGAAACAGTCTACATCAGTCTGCAAGATAGCAAGTTTGGCTGAAAAATGTGTGGCATTCTTTTAATTGTTTGTTCCAAAATGATGACATGCTTTCCCGGCAGTCATGGCCTCTTTTAAATCTTTTCTACTTGATTGCTTCTTATGGGCACTTCTAGGTTTTAAGGTTGTCCACAAAATGTTATAATGCTGCTTTATTATTGCTCTAGGTCAGGACAGCCTATTTTGAGGGGAAAAATCGCATTGATTCACTTATTGCGGATATGGGAAACTGGGGAGCTAGTGCAGTAACAATACATGGTCGATCTCGACAACAACGCTACAGCAAGCTTGCAGATTGGGTATATGTTTACCAGTGTGCCAGAAAGGCCTCTAAGGCTTTGCCAGTACTTGGAAATGGAGACATATTTTCATATGTAGATTGGAACAAGCACAAGGCTGAATGCCCTGAGCTGTCTACATGCATGATTGCTCGAGGAGCACTAATTAAGGTCTGTACTTTGCAGCTTGTCTTGTCCTTAACTGTCTCCTTCTGCCACATTTACTCGTTTATTTATCTTGAAGTACGTTCCCAAAACACACACACACACACACACATATATGTATCTATTTATCTTTCCCATATTTGTCTCAACCAAGTTTAAAACTTGTGCTATCTAACCATCCTTGTGATTTTCAGCCTTGGATTTTTACTGAAATAAAGGAGCAGAGGCACTGGGACATCAGTTCTGGGGAGCGATTAAATATATTGAAGGATTATGTACGTCTTGGCCTTGAACATTGGGGCTCTGACACAAAAGGTTTGTATAATTAGTTTTCAACATATCATCAGTAATTTACTCAGCTAGAGTTTTCTTAGGGTACTATGGTTCTCCGAAAAGGTCACCCTGCATTTCTCCATGTGCAAATTCTCCTCATAAAAATGCCTTAAATTTAGTGAATAGTCCTATCCAAGTTAGTCCTCCCTATCAAACGAGGCCTTAGGGTAATGTGGTACTCTGAAAGGGTTGTCATGCATTTCTTCATGTGCAAATTCTCTCTTATAAAAAATGTTAGGGAAGAGTGCAGGGTTGACTTATTTGGAGTTCCAATAACAGCTCCCTTTTTCTTATTATTACTTATGTTATTTTGTACATGGCATTATATTGAAACTGTGCCCTCATAGGATGTTTTGCTCCTTTCATGGAGCTGACCGGGATGACTGGTTACCAACTTCATGTTGGTTTCTACTTAAAAGTTTTACTTTGTTTTCAGCACTTAATCTATTGTATAATTAGTTGGACTGTTATCCATGTCCCAGGTGTGGAGACAACTAGGCGTTTTCTGTTAGAATGGCTTAGCTACACTTGTAGATACGTACCTGTGGGTCTTCTAGATGTCATTCCACAACGCTTGAACTGGCGCCCGCCATCCTACTATGGCCGTGATGACCTTGAGACACTAATGGCCTCTGATTCTGCGGCTGATTGGGTATGGCTTTGCCTTCTCTTACAGCCGATCCAAGTCACTGAGCCAACCTGCTTAACAATGTAGTTTCTTGACATTTGCAGGTTAGGATCTCTGAGATGTTGCTTGGCAAGGTTCCAGATGGCTTTACATTTGCACCAAAGCACAAATCCAATTCTTACGACCGAGCAGAAAACGGTTGATTTTGCATAGTTTCTCGATTCTGCGTATGGACGATATAATCTCACACGTCCATGTGGGTGAACCTGACTTGCCTCATGCCTGCCTCAAACCAAGTTGCCCTCTCGGTACTATTGCTGGACGCGGATCGTGTCGTGTATGCTAAAATGTCCTCAAATAATTCTTAAGCAATTCTGGTAGGCGCCAATTTGTCCACTGGCCCCAGAAATTGAAACCTGTTTGATTAAAATGCAAACATTCTTGTTATGTATGTTGTAATTTGTATTTAAAAAGCATTTGGTACGTTATTATGCCGTCGCCTTGATAGGTCTAATTTTGGTCTTTCGGTCTAGTCCGTCGTTATGAGGAGTCGGATATTAGATTTTCCGTTGGAGTTACTCGGTGTAGGAACGATGTTGGTTTCGTACTTTCTTATAACTAAGTTTAGTAATGACCTGAATTCGAATATAAATCAGTTTGATTACTAAAATGCTCTATAAGGCGGTAGGTTAATAGAACCATATGCACGGAAGAAAAAGGCGTTTATGCGGCTTAAACATTATGTTTGACCATGAAGGTATATTTAGCATAATTCACAATGGCTTTCTGATCGAAGGCAAGGAGTTCAAGTTTAGTTGGCACAGCAGGCGTCCAACTCTCTTTTCCACCCCAAAGTTTTGTCCCACGTAATTTCCTTCGAGAAGGTTTTTTCTCCAACACAAACAACAGGGTTTATAGGGCCAAAAAAATAGATGAACCTAACAGAGTAATCCAAAAGAACCATTGCCCCATGTTATAACAAGTTTCAGAGACCAATACTTACGGATTTTTAGTGTAGGACCAGAGCTCCAAGCGTGCCAAAGTTCAGGAACTACTGCTCCAAACTTATCTAGAAATAAAGTACTTGCCCATTGCTTGCAAGTTCACAGAAGTTATAAACTTTGAAGAAGAAAGAAGGGGTGCTCATGATATAGGTAGTACATCACTACATACAGATCATACCATCATGGAACGAAAGACAGCTTTGATGGAACGAAAGGTTCATAACATTCAAGCTTTGTATAAAAATTTAACCAAACGGTGTATCATCAAGAAAAGATAAATCATAAATTCAATTTATCAGATGCAAAATTGAAAAGGAACCAACCAGACCCATAACTTCGATCAGTTTAAGACACCAGTCAGTCACAGCAAAGTATCCCCTGCTGTGCTCCTTTGATCACACAAACATCCACCATAAACTGGAGGAGTTGCAAGCAATGGTATTAGATAACAACGCCCTCAAATTCCTTGTCCTTCTCCTCTTCAGGGCTGTGATTCGCTTGAACCCAGCCACCATCAATGTTCTCAAAACTACCAACTAACCCATCATCCAAAGAATCACCCACTCGTTTCACTTTAATCTCTCTAGGCTCCACAGGGTATTTTCCAGAGAAGCAAGCATAACAAAAGTTAGGAGATTGACTGCCCAACATTTTCTCCAATTTACCAATTGGCAGAAAGGCAAGTGAATCAGACCCAATAAACTCCCTAATTTCCTCAACACTCATCCTATTTGAAATCAACTCCTCAGAGCTTGGTGTGTCCACTCCATAATAACAAGAACCAATAATCGGCGGGCTTGCAATCCTCATATGAACTTCCTTTGCACCAGCCTCCTTCAACAACCTAACAATTTTTGAAGAAGTGGTTCCTCTCACAATGGAGTCATCCACAACCACAACCCTCTTCCCCTCCAACACAGCCCGAACCGGGGACAACTTGAGCTTCACACCAAAGTCCCTAATCTTTTGTGATGGCTCAATGAAGGTCCTCCCAACATAATGAGACCTAATCAAACCCTGCTGAAAAGCCACACCAGCTTTAGCAGCATAACCCAGTGCGGCCACCACCCCAGAATCAGGCACCGCTATCACAACGTCACAATCAACCGGCGCCTCAGTGGCAAGGATCTCACCAAATGCCCGCCGGGACTCATACACTGAACGACCGAAAACCACAGAATTCGGGAGAGCAAAGTAAATGTGCTCAAAGATACATTGCTTTGGCTGAGGATGAGACATAAGGCAAAGTGATTGAACCCCCTCTTTATCCACCACTATAATCTCTCCAGGAAACACCTCCCTCTCATATGTGGCTTCAATCAAATCAAGCGCACAAGTCTCAGAGGCAAACACAACCGAGCCATTGCTCCTCCTACCCATTACCAATGGCCGAAACCCGTGTGGATCCCGAACGGCTACGAGCTTATCTTTGGTCACGAAAACCATAGAATAAGCCCCCTGAATCTGCTCACACGCATCAACAATTCTCAAAAGAAAAGGTCTATGCTTAGAAATTGCAATAAGGTGAAGAACAACCTCTGTGTCAGAGCTGGTGTTGAAAATGGAGCCGTTGTCTTCCAGCCTTGCTCGAAGGGAGCGGTAATTGACCAAATTGCCATTGTGGGCAACCCCAACTGACCCAAACCTGTACCCTGCAACAAATGGCTGGACATTTTTGAGCATAGAGGAACCGGCAGTGGAGTACCTGACATGCCCAATGGCCAAGTCGCCCGGCAGCTGGTCAAGCTTGGTCTGATTGAACACCTCGGAGACGAGCCCCACGCCGGTTATAGACTGAAGCACGTCGTCTTGGACACACACAATCCCAGCACCTTCCTGGCCGCGATGCTGGAGGGCGTGCAGGGCCAAATAGCAGAGGCGGGAGGCTTCCGGGTCCCCGTATATGCCAACCACGCCGCACTCCTCCCGGGGCTTTTCGTCATCAACATAATCTATTGAATGGCCATCTGGGTTTTGGTTGGCGGCGGATAAAACGTCGGAAATTGGGTTTTTGGAGCGGAGGGTGAAGGAGGAGGGCTTGGGGGTACGCGAGACGGAGGAGGTTTTGAGAGGGAAAGTGGGTTTAGGGAGGGTTTTGGGGGAGAAGGAGGGAGGGGATTTGTGGGTTCGGGGGAGAGGAGAGGGATTGGAGAGAGAGGAGGAGAGAGCGGAGGGCTTAGTGGTGGCGGTGGCAGCCATGGGAGAGTTGCAGAGAAGGTGGCGTCAGTTAGTGAAAGAGTAAAGCGACAGTGAAGGGAACCGTGGGCTTGGAAGGTGGTGTTGGTTTCTAGGTCTTTTTGAGAGTTTGAAGGAATCAACCAGACTTGTTGACTCACCCGTTGGTGAGATGGCTGCCTCACAAATAAAGGAGGGATTTTTCGGTGTACCCGGCACACCAAAAAAATTTGGTGTACCCTCACTCATAATGGTGAGGGTGCACCAAAAAAATTTGGTGCACCCTCACTTTTTGTACACCAAAAAAATTTTAATGAGTGAGGGTACACCAAAAAAATTTGGTGTACCCGGTACAACTAAAAATTTTCCCAAATAAAGATTCCAATTGGAATTTTTTTTTTGGGTAAAGCATGTTAGATTTTTTTTTCAATTCAAATCGTCCTCATAAGTGAGAAGTTTTAAGTTTAATTATTGGAAAAGTCGAATTTGAACCAAAATGAGTGAGCAATAATAATTTGACTCAAATTGATTTTTAAGTAAAGAGAAATACAATCGAACCGTAGTACCAATAAGTTAATATTAGGTAGCTTCTTCTACATCTACTAAAATTTGAATTAGTATAAGAAAGATGGATTAGTATATTATTAATGCGTGGTGCAATACTAATAAGCACAATTTATTTTAACTCTTTCTAAAAAGACCTACATATGTATAATATTATTTTTACGTGGCAATTGATGCATACAATAAACATTTAAAGAGGTAAATTATTAATTAACGTGATATGTATACATCACTTATCACATTAAATGATAGTAATGACGTATATTCAAGATTTTCTCCTTTTTTTTTTTATTTTTGTTTTTTATTTTTGGAAAACCAAGATTTTCTCCTGTGGATCCTTTGGAGGGGCACGTACCTCGATTCTTTGTTATCATCGTGAATAAACTTTTCATAGCGCATATATCCTGGTTGAGATAAATTACACTTGTAAAGTTGTAATAGTTGTGGTGGGAGTGAGCGTATGAAAGGGTTTAAGATAAACGAATAACTTTTTGTTTTTTCATTTTTTCTTAAGCCGTTTATTTTATTTTATTCATGTTACACATATTTTGTGGTTTGCGACGTCCACGTAGGCATATAATAGAAAAACTAATAAAAATTGAAACAGACGTATAAAGTTGAAATAAATAATAAGTAAATGTGAGATTGAAATGTTTTAAAGACCTATGTAGTGTGCTAGTGGATAATGTATTGAGTTTCTATTCATGCATCCAGGGTTTGACTCTCATTTTCTCTAAATTATTATAATAGTTTCAAACTCTCATCTCTCTCATCAATAATAGTAAAATTTAAAAAGAAAAATTTTTTAAAATATCGTCTACAGTTACAATTGACCACAAATATGAAAGGGCAAAATATAATTTACATTTGATAATAAGTTAAAGGTGTAATCTTTATTTTTTATTTTTTTGTTTGGTTGTCGTGTCAGGTAGTTAAAGAGAAACTGATGACAAAAGAGACAGTAGTATGATATTAGTACGAAATGAAGAGTTATTATATGAAATTGAAAAAAAATGAAAAATTTGAAAAACGTTGTATGAATTTTTAATTGAACGAAAACCTAAGAAGATAATATGTAATTTACCCATAATTATTATTTTTTGAATGAGAGTAACTTCATTGAAAAACTCAAATGTGTACTCCATCAACATAGAGAAAAGAAGACAACCAAGATGGCTCCTCTTTGATCCAAGAGAGAAAATTACCAATTTTTAAGGCAAATTGACAAAGTTCATGAGCAGCTCTACCAGCCTCCACCTTTCATATGGCATGACAACCTAGCTAGGCTAGCTATGCTCGATATTTCCAATACAAACACACGGGGATCTTTTCAGGTTCTCTTTATGAGGATCTTGAGGATTAACAAATTATGTCTGTTTATCGTATATCGTGCGGTCAGTTTTCATCAAATATTATTTGTATTTAATTTAAAATAAAAGTATTTAAAATAATTTCTGACCATACGGTGTACGATGAACGAATATAATTTGAGGATCCCCAGGATCCTCACAAAAGAGGATCCAGGGAGGATCCTCACAAAAGAGGATCCAGGAGGATCCTCATTCCAAACATACAACACGTTAAGTGGGATTAGATGGAGGCAAGGTTTTAAAAGGCATTAAGTGCTAGTCCGGTAATGGGTTGGAGCTTAACGCTTAGGTAGATTAGGCAGATTTAAATATATTTATCATATATCGTATAAATAAGTGTTTATTTATACTTAAAAAATATGTAGTTGTATTGGGATACTTAAATTGCTAAATAAATTGACATATAAATTATAAAGTATTAGAATATATTGAAAACATAGGGAACAAACATATAATGAGTGTTCATTCAAATATTCAACAAGTCTCTTACATTTTATTAAAAAAAAAAATGCAAAATTCAAGTTATCGATTTTCTATCTAAGTGAGAGTTGCGACCAAGACGGGTCAAGGCGAGCTAGGTGGACACCTAAGCAGGTCAAGGCGCTCTTTTTTAATTTTTAAACATCCATGAATTTATCAGGATGTTGCCAGCCGCCTAGCACCTAGATGGGGCCTAGGTATCTAGATCAAGCCAACCTATATATCTAGATCAAGCCTTTGGTCTGAATTCACTCAAATTTGTGCAAGTAGTATTCCAAAACTTAAAGAAAATGTCATTTTTGCAATTTGTGCTTTGAAAGTGAGTGTTGAGCTCTTCCGAATCAAGAGAAGTGGCTAACAACTATGGGGATGAAAAAGCAGCTGCCACAGCTTCAAGACAAGAAGGGATATACCGCAACCATTAGACGTGAATCGTGATCACCACGAGCCACTCCGTGCATGTCCCACATAACAACATAATCTTAATTAAACTTAATTGTGTTTATTCTCCAATTAATATTTGTTCCTGTCCATTACCATCATGTTTGCGCAAAAGATCAAAAATAAATTGAATACCATATTCTTACGTCATCTTTCCAAATCAACGTATAACAATTGCATGTAGGCCATCAAGCTGATATATTGTTTCACTTGTCTTTTAATTCAGTATTTTTTTTCCCGCTTTACTTGTCACATGGAAAAAAAATCAGTCCATAAAGTATAATCCAGATATCTCTTTTGAGAAAAGAAAAATAAACAAAAATTATACCCTATATTTTATCTACTTTTAAATGCAACTCACCATTAGCAGCCCAGGCGTTTAGCTTGTCACATGGAAAAAAAAACGAGAAATTTTATTTGAACCCATATAAATTTTTTCTACATCCAATTTAAATTTTAATTATGAAGTATCTTTTTTTACATATTACATAATTACTATAAAGTACAAGATGTAATTAACAATAAAACTAAATTTTATCAATAAACCCACATCTAATAATCAAATTTTTACTATCACCAATCTAATCTTCATTCTACGAAACTTAGAAAGTGACGAAAAAATAACATTCGTGACTGAATGTGGGGCACATAAAAATCACAAGTCCATGAAGGCATACGACTTCCCAGTTCATCCTATTGAAAATTGAGGCAATCACTCCAACGTCAAGGCAAAGGAGACATAAGATGTAGATTATGTACCAGTTAAAATTGGTCCAGCACAAACCAGATTGATGATATTTATGTAAATATTAATAAAACTAAATTCAAGAGCATAGGCACCTATAGAAAAATTATGGGTTATTACTAAAAGGTGGTAAAAAGTTAAAGGCCAAAAAAAAAAAAACAAAAAAAAAAAAAAAAAAGGGGAAACTTTTGAATAGCAATTTTGACAATCATCCTTAAGTGTTTTGCACTTAAAGGGAGGAGTGCAAGAGATTCAATCGAGTGTGAAAATCACCGGCCCAGTTTTTTTTTTTTTGAACATTGTAACAAAGATTTGAAGCCGAATGTCAATATAAAAGTTGTAATCACCCAAAAGGACACAATGAAGAGAGTAAAATTGCTGATGGAATTGGCAACAATACGACCGCAAAGGGTGTTGGTGCAGGCATCAATCCCATACCTAAACTTGTATATATAAACCTGTCAAACAAAATTGCAATTGATGTTTTTCTAACAAATGCAAAATATAACCAGATTAAAGAAAAACTGCAAGTAGCCTCTGACCTTTAAGTCTCGAAATCAAACTTAGTAAAAATCAAAATTAAGGAATGCATAAATCAGAATCTAAATCATATTGATTTGGTTATTTTATAAGAGAAAAAGTTCACAAATTCACAAGAAAGAAGACAAATTCAACAAGTTAGTAGTATAGGTGTAAAGATAAATTTACATATTGAATTGGGTTTATAAGGGTAGTTTAGGTAATAAAATTAGGTTTAAAAAGATATTAATAGTTTAATTAAAAATAATATGGATGTGGAGAGTAAATTGAATGTAAAAAGAGGTTACATGGATTCAAATAAAAATTTTCTTACATCGAATTGGAGATAGCAGACTCTCACTCCATAAATTATAGTCTAGATAGCTCTTTTCTTTTGAGAAAAAAAAAAAATATATATATATATATATATTTTTTTTTTGAACGAGAGAAAAAGAAATTATACCCTATATTTTATCTACTTTTAAATGCAACTCACTTTTAGCCTAGGCAACCTTTTCATTTATTTGCTCCATTTAATATAAGCCTTCATATCTACTTTCATATAGAGCTCATTCTATATTTAGCTTGCTTTATACCGGTACTTTATAGAGTACTTGTAATAGATTTGCGCCATAGACTGATGTTATGATTTGACATCAGTAAGTCCGATGTTGTTTTTTCTATATCACAATGTCTTTTCACATGATTTTCTTTGGAAAGGTTTTTCTTCAAATTAGTGTACCCTGTTAGACGTTCTTGTGACTGATCGACAATTGTATTTGAGAACTAGTGTGCATTCTTTGCTTTTTTTTTTTATTTTTTTATTTTATATATCTAGTGTGGTTCTATTCATGCAGCACATCTTTCTTAGAAAGATTTGAAGTCTGTGTCCTTTTTTTCACGCTTGATATCGTATAGACTACTTTGATCTTACTTGTACTTATTTATGGTGTTTAATAAAGCATCTTCCTCCTCGCCACTAAACCGTCTCCCTTTTTCTCTCTCCCCAACCCAAACC